ACGCACACTCGCGTGCGCGCGCACTCACACCCTCACCCGGCGAAGGTGCAGACTGGGGGTGCACAGCCGGCCCGTGGCAGGGGCGCCCCCCAAAAATGAGGGGCGTAAGTGCTTTGCCCCTTGGCCCCTTTCTCTTCGGCGAATGAGATTTTTGTCTCTGCAGCGGTGTCTGACCAACCTTAAACTTTCCCCGACCCTATTTCGGGATGCCAGGGGAGACCTGTGGGCACGGGCTCCTCCAGTCTGGGAGAGAAGCAGGCCGGGTGCCCACTTCCGTACCTCTCCCTGGCCCTCAAAATGCTCGCGAAGTCCTCGGGAGGATCGCCTTCCGCAGCTGACCTTTGGGAGCGTGTAACTCGGGGTTGCCGTGTGCAGAAAGCTTAGTCTTCGAGGTGCGCCGCGGGCCAGGGGGTTCCCCCACCAGTGGTACGTGGGGTCCCCGTGAGTTTGGCCCTCGCGCGCGCCGCCACCTCCCTGGACTTCAGGTAAGACGCAGAGAAGTCGTGGGGGGAGGTGGCCCCTTCCCCGGACCGACCGCACAATCCGGTTCCCCACCCCCACCAGCGCGCACCCCTCTTCCGCGGCCTCGGAGCGGCGATCGAAGCTGTGTGCGTGCAGATGGACGCGGCCCTTGGCGACCAAGGGGCTGGGACGGGCGTCGCGGGTTATCACGGCATCTTAAGGACGGGTGGGGGCGGGGCGGAGGCGCGGTCTCGCGGGGATGCGTTCGTGCCCCTCCCTCCCCGGCTCCTCGAAGTAAATGATTTTCCGAAGGTCAGTCCGCCCGCCGAGCGCCTCCAGGCTCTGGTTTTGGGGTGGTTTGTGCGTGCGCGAGTGTGTGTGCGCGTGTGTGCGCGCGTGTGTCCAGCAGCCGGGGCAGCGTTGACTGGGGTAGGAAGGTTCGTCGTAAAGCAGGGCTCGGAGCGACGGCGAGGTCTCTTCGCGGAAGGGTTTCCCGGTCGCCGAGCGTGAGTGGCAGGCGGGGTGGAGCGCGGTGCGGGATGGGGCTGCGGAATCCAGGAAGTGGCCGAAAGTCCTCCTTTTCTCGTTCTCCGTTGTAAATGGCTCCTGAAGACTTCTGGATTTTACAGTGCTAGCGAGAAGGTCCATAAACCGTTCTCGCCCGATTCAGTCACTTTTATGACCTCGCCACCCCAACCCCCGCGGGTCCCAGGTGCGGCGAGCTGGGAAAGGGTGAAGGTGGGAAGTCCGCGGCGGAGCCGGATCCAGGGCTTTAAATTTTAACCCGAGTTCGATCGCCTGCAGCTCCCAGAGAGGACGCGGGCAGCGTCGTTCCCACCGCGGCGTCCAAGGTCTCGTTTTATTGAAGTCCGGCGGCGAATTGTGCCAAGCGCTCGAACCGGCTGCATTCTGCAAAGCTTGTGTGTAAGCAGTTACGTGATTGATGTTCTGGACGCTTGGTTTTTTAAATTCAATTGTATTTTTAATAGTGTTTCTCAGATTGGCTATTAAAAGGAATTTGTTTTAATTTTGTATTTGCTAAAAATAAATGTTTTGGTTAGGTTTGCGTCCAGGCTGCGAACGGCCTCCCCGCCACAGCCGGAGCCCGGCACCGTGCAAGCGTGAGGCTCCGAGGGCTTTAGGGGGACAGCAGCAGACCCCGCCGCCCTCGCTGTGGGCGGAGACTTCCGGGCTCCGCGGGGACCCCAATGCCCCACCGGCGCCCCAAACAAAGGGAAAACAGGTGATTGTTCCTTTTCCGGGGCTTCTCCCCTCC